GTTTGGCCTTGTGTGTGTGTAACGTTAATTACATTGGCCTCTGATGTTTACATCTCAAGTTGTAGGTGTGAAGTGAAGTTTGCCCAACAAAGAAACTTTAGATTTTGACTACTGTAAATACATTTACATTCATGGTGGTTTTATTTTGCAGTATGAGGGAAAATGAGGTTTATATGGTGTTTGAAGTTCACAAGTGAAACAATTCTGTTACTTGCAATTTAATTAGAAAACACATATTTGCAGTGTTATAATTTCGCAAGAGCCGCAAAAAGAAATCCACTGCTAACTACTTGAATGTGGACATGGAAAACATATATGTGGTAGGGACATACGGTCAAAATTTTTAATGAACTTTGCACATGACCAGTATCATATTTTGTGAACATAAAATATCCTTGCACAGTAATATATGAGTTGTAGAGAGTAGAAGATGGGTTTGATGTTCTTGGTCAGATGGTGAAAAATATGGCGGTATCCATTTATAGGAGAGTAGTAAATCCAGCAGAACAGCAGGAGCTGTCGTGTACGCTAGGACAAGTTGTGCCAGTAGTTGTAATTCAAGAGGAGAAACAGGACATGAAACTGTTGCCGACTCAGCAGCGTGCCCTGTGCCTCCCTTGGACTGTCCTGTTTACCAGACTGGAGCGTGATTTGCCCTTTGTCAGCGTGCCATTAGTACTTTTGCCTTCAAGGAGAACTGGTCAAGTAGTTAGATGGGAGAGGGGGATTATTTCTGAAGGACTCCAAGCAGTTAGTCCAGCCTGTTGTGTCCAGTTCAAACCATTGGCTTGTAAATGTCGTCTGGGGTGGAAGTAATCACCCTTCCCTTTTCCAGTACAAGTTGGACCTTGCAGTGGCCATGTACATCGGAAACTGTAAGTTAGACATCTGTAAAATTGTGCACAAGTATGTGTTTTGTAGTCTAACTCTATCAACTTGTTGTCACAATTTTGCCCAATTTTTCTTCTTTTGTTTTTGATGTGGGAGGGGGAGCATTAGTTCCTTAATGCATGAAGGTACAATACATAAATGCTGTTTTGAGGTACAATGATGAAGAAATTCAAGACAACTACATGTAGATCATAATTCACATTTGGAACAAAGAAGGTGGAAGGATCTAGCAAGTCTTGTTCCCCCCTTACGTGTGCCTGTATGTGGCACAGTCCTTGAGGTGATGGATTTGGGAATGATCTGCTCCGGATTAGATAGGCAAGGTAAGACACCTGCTCTTAGTGACTAGTTAGGATTGCCATGGCAACAGGCTTACCCGGCTTTGTGCATTTTGCCAATCCTGCCAAGCAATCGTAATTCCGGCTGCGATAAAGTCTGAAGTATTAGTGAAGTGGTAACAGGATACCAGGGAGGCTGAGACGTGCAGTATGTGTAGGCGGCAATGGGACTTTTCCTGTGTCAGATAGTTGATGAAATGTTGAAGTAGATAGCAATCTAAACCTGTGTGCAGAATTACTTCGTGCTATGAAAAATGATTCTAGCAACTGCTTCATATTTTAATCGTGTGCTTCGATATCTCCAGTGCCAAAAGGCAAACTTCTAGGCATTTCCTGGTTGTCTAATTATGGATCTACCCCCTTACCCTCCCTCCCATCCTTCCTGAAACATTTGTTTTTTCTGGGACAGACCTCTACACCTTACCACCAGAAGGTGGCCAGGGGCATTTGTTGTCATTGTGAATGGAGTGGTGTGGTTACCTTTGATGGGGTGTAGTGTCTCCCGCAAGGACCAAACGGGAAGGGTGTAACTCACATGTTTACATGTAAGGGCCCCTATTCCACCCTGTCATATTAGATGACAAGTAACTGGCCCTGGGAAAATACGTTGAGCTTGGCACCAAACAAAAGCCCGCTGATCAGCCGCAGTGTAAGGTTCATCAGTGGTCGGGATTAGTCAGGAACCATGGGCTGAGTGGTTCAAGCTTGCCGCCCGGGTATCAGATAATCAGTTTTGGCAGGAGAGAGCCTACTGGGTGAGGACTGCCTCATGTTTTGAGGAAGTTAGAAGGAGGAGGCCTTTTGTGTGCTCAGCGATATACAGACAACTTCCCCTTTGGTTCGTGACCAGGCCTGCTGACACAACCTTGCAGAGAGTATGATGATAATCTGCAATACTTCTGGCTTTCTTGTAAGTCTTCATGTGTCTTTTGTGCCTTACATTTGCAACCTTGATACCGTAAATAACTCTGAGTCACTTGTTTTTGTTGTTGTACGTGTAAATTGAATAGGTAGCCTTTGGTAACATCGTCAAGTACAAATGGTGGATGATTATTGCAGTCCATCGTGTCCTGATGTTTCAATCTTAGGTTTGGTTAATTGGTATATGAAATTTCCCCCCATGTCAAAGCCCCCTCTACAAGACATGCCCTCTTTGTTGATGTTGACTAGTGCGTTACTTGGTTAGTTATGTAGCTAGTAGGGCTGCGGACCGGTACACTGTACCGGTCCAATACCGTAAAAATCGTTTCGGTACAGGTCCAAAATACCGGATCATGAAGTAACGAGTATATACCGAAATAGCTTTACACCATGTATATGACTAAAGATAGGTAAATCCTACCACAAAGACGAAAAATTAGCAATGGAAAAGACGTAAACACCGTCGATTGATTTGAGATCCTCAGTCTCACGAGACATCGCGAGAGTGTGGCTGATCCAGGGTTGTGAATAAAGATACTGACAAGTTGTCAACACTATATTATTGTTTCTGTGTCATGATTGAAAAAGTGAAGAACACGTGTTAATTTGTCAAATTGTTCAGGTACAGGTACAGGTCCGGACCTGTACCTAAACCTCTGTACCGGTACCTGTACCTGTACCTGATGTTACGTTTAGGTACGCAGCCCTAGTAGCTAGTGCTCCAGGCTGGTCTTGTCTTGTGTCTGCTGTTAAAGGAGTGTTTATGCCCTGGGATCCACGGATGCCTGAAATAGGCTGGAGGGCAGGGGCTGTTTGTGCTCCGGTGCACTTTGTTTCTTTCATCCCCTCCCAAATTGCAGTAAATAGGAAACGCTGGCAGTCTCTGACAGCTCTGCGTAAACAGTCCCACATACAGTAGGCTGGTCCATGGCACAC